CACTGGAAGATGCAGATCTCAACTATCAAATTATTTATACATGCACAAAGGCACTATTTTTTGTTTACTTATTTATCTTATTGTGCCAGGAACCGGTTACAGACATTGAATGACACTTTTGTCTTTCACGACTTTTTTATGTGCATTTTGCAAGTGCTGACAGATTTTCCACAGAAGCCATATTCATGTTTGGGACTACATAAAGAACTGAGTTTCCTTGAAAGTTTATGCCCATTTCAATATGTTAATACTTTTGAGGAAAACTGTAGGAAAATACGCTGATGTGTCAAATAAAATTATTTAAATCACATTCGTGTGAATCAACCAAAAGAAAATAACTTAAGGTAGAGATGCAGGTTCGTGGGCACTTTGGAGTGAATTTTTTTTTTGCTTTTTATTATCTAAACAGTCTTGGCTATAGACTGTTAAAATTTTGTAGAATTGTGAATAGTGGAACAAACTCGAAAAACGATTTTTAAATATGGATAACAGATGCAAACATTCTCTGTTTTGAATGCTTAGCAAGATTTAGCAAGGCTGTACATAAGTAATAAAAAAGAAACATGGTGAAAAAAAGAAATGACGGGATCTCCATATTATGCACTATATTTAACTTTTAACAAAACGATAATACATTTAAATTTGGAACTGTTACAACCATTTTAATTATGAGCATTAGCAAACTTCTTACTGAGTAAATTGTTATGTGAAATTAGCAATTATCTCAGCTTCTTTTTAGTGCACATCCCAGAACTTTAAAAAAAATAGCTCCTAGATGCTTTGACCTTTTGTTTTGAAATTTTCACAAATGATTGACAATGTGTTTATCTTCAAAACGCCGTCGGAGCATTGTTTTTGGTTGATCAGTGTTACAATCGTGCAGACAACTAGCCCGGGTGTTAATTTATGCATAAACTTGAAGTAGTGAAATTTTGGCTGCTGCCCTGCAAAATTGACAACTGGTAGACAGTTTTCAAGACGGCACTTTTTTCATAGTAAACAGATGTACCCATAAACCAATTTTGACAGGAAACAGAAGCATGGTTTAGGAGCCATTTTTTTAAAATCACTTTTGACCAAAAAAGCACATTTTTGTGCACACTTCAAACTACAGTGTCCATAAAGAAAAAATACTAACAAAATTTTTAAATTCATACAATAAGCTTTCAGAAAATATATAGTTTTGTGGACAAGGGAGGTCATTTTGGTTTCCTAATTAACTATTTAAAATACCTGTCAGGTAAACTGCATCTCTACCTTAACTCTAATTTATCACGACTTATAACACTTTTTGACTGTAAAATTACATTTGTGAATTTATATTTTAAATATTAAAATAGTTGTATATGATATTAAAACATTTTTTAAGAAAGAATCCAGGATTCACCTTTGCCTTAGCCAGTCAAATAATACCAATATATGTGGTCAATATTATTTTATAACATTTACATTTTGCTTTACGAGTCGAATACAAGATTGACCGACAGTGTGACGGTGAATGGAAGTGAAAGATTCACAATTATTTTGTTTTGTTTTTTGTTTTTTAATCTGGGGTTGTCACACCTGTTGTTTAGTGTAGGGATAGGAATAAGATTTGTCGCCACGAGAAGCGGTAACATTCTCCAGCTGTGTTCTGTTCTCATTGATTTAGTTATGTGTGGGCTTCACGGTATTAACACAGGCAAGCACGGTGGAATGGGTACAAATCTTGGGTCCATCTGACGTTACCGGATATGATGTACACAGGGATCTCATTGTGTTGGAGGGATGTTCGTATGTGATAATTCCAAAGTGATTCATGACGTCGATGCTGGTGCATGCTGGAGTGAGAATCTGATAACAGACTCAGAGATGAAAATGGCGCCATTTACGCTCACTTTCGCTACAGAAGCGCTTCGTCGCCAGAGGGCGCAAGTCGTCGGTGTATTGATAGTCGAAACTGTTGAACAGATGGAGACAACTACTTTAATATTGATACTCTACAGCGCTATTTCGTACAAGTACCTCACTCATTAGGAGCTTGAAGCACGGTTAGGGACGAACATCCGATTATTGTTGTTATATATATATATATTCAATATCATTGTTAGGCACGGCATATTGATGACAAAATGAACTATGATTTATCATAAAATAAAATGTCGCATTTGCAATACACTGTATAGTATTTTTTCGTTGATTTATTTCTTTTTAAAGTTTAAATTAGATATCGCGAAATGGAGGTGTTAATGCGTTCACCCCGAATTTCGGAAAACTTTTTTATTACTATAATTTAACTGAAAAAAAAAAATCAACACAGCTTGGCCGGTCTTTGATTGTTCCTATACGCACCAAAATAATCACCACCACACATACGTCGTAAAGCATCCAATAAAAGTATTACAAATCACACGTTTTTCTGGTCCATTTCAAAGTTGCAGCTTTAAAGGTGTACTCTCTTACAGTATATTTAATTTAGGCATAGATGCCGTAACTGTGATTTGTGTGATATACGCAATAAAACAATAACTGCCTTGT